GTCAGCTCTATTATATGCCTGGGAATTCTAACAGAACATACAAATACACTTGTAAAAACAATGTCTGCCAACCCTATACATGATCTTGGGCACACTTCTCCCTACATAGACATACCAAATAGTTCAGCATGAAAAACACTGAAAGACATTATATAGCCCAAAAAACTCACTGCCATTAAGTAGATTCTGACTCATAGTAACCCTGCAGGACAGAGTAGAATTGCCCCATAGGGTTCCCAACGTTGTAAATCTTTTTGGAGGCAGATTGCTTCATCTTTCTCCCATGGAACAGTTGGTGGGTTCAAACCACAAAACTTTTGGCTAGCAGCTGAGCACTTTAACCACTGTGCCAACAGGGTGCCTCACATTATATAAAATGTCTAGTCTACAGCAGGTGCTCTGTAACAGTGGGTTCTTTCTTCTATGCACACATCCGATTTCTCCCATTAACTAGTATTTTCTTACGGCTCTACACGAATGTGGTCTGCATTCACGGGCTGACCCTTCTGTCCTGCCTCTACCCCTCCATTCACACCAGGAGCAGGGGCTCACTTCCCAAGGTGACCCTTTTGCTATGTTACCCCCACTTAGATGCCTTTGCTTCCTTTTTTCACAACCTGTTTTTCCAGTTTTCAGGTCAATTCTGTGAGCTATGTGCTCTTTTTCCCATAGTTTTATTCTGTGGTAAATTACCCAGAGTCAGTTTCTATTGTTCATAACCAAGAACCCAACTAGTTCATGCCTCAAAAGTCCATCCCTCCAGGAAGCTATCAGGAAAATGGAGGTAAATGACATCTGACTATTCAAGTCACTGACTTCTTTGGAATGAAAGTGGGATAAGGCAGCCAAACTTATTGTAGTAAGACACACATACCTTTAATTTACAGGAATTTAAAGTCAAGCTTACCACTGGAAGTTTATCTACTCAAAGGCCAGTAATGGAAATGACTTTGATGCTAGGATGGAGTGGAGGGTGCGCTCTTTCCATACTCACGACATAGGTGGCCCAGAGCCAGCCCTACTCACCGGTGGTGATTTCAGTAATGAGTTCAGCTGAGTGATGGCAGCCCTGGACTATGCTCCTTGTCCAATGGGACAGGTCCCTGCTGCTCTCTGCCCTGAAGAGATGTGTTTCAATCCCTTGCCTGGTACCAGTTCGGGTTGCAAAGGACAGATCCACACCAGCCTGGGGTGATCCCTTGCCAGGACCTGAATGGACCAGCCTGGAATTTAAAAAGAGTGAGAGAAAAATAATCATCAAAAGAGAGACTGTTTCAGCCATCTGATGTATCACTTAGGCCAAAAATGGTGGTTTGCTCTCATTTTTCTGATCTGGAAGCAAAGAGGTCCACTTTACTGCTCTCCATGGTTTCCTGCCAGGGCCTCTTCCCAGCTCTTACCCCCTGGAAGAAGGAGAAGAAGACAAGGCCCAGGAAGCTCTTGCCCCCGTGGTAGGAGGAGGCAAAGATGATGCCCAATAACTGTGCATCTGGTTGAAGATGCAGAGCAGGTGAGTAATGGGGCTTTAACTTGTGCAAATTCACTATTCTCATTCCGCCATGAAGAGAAAGAAGAAATAAGTACACGAGAGAACAATTTCCATAGTGTTAGGAACTGCTCCCACCCATTCCATTTCCGAGCATATGTATGCCCCAGTGCGGGTCAGACGGAGTTCTCCTGCACTTCCTGTAGCTGGAACACCTGGCTTCATTGTATGTACTTCCAAGCATGCATTTTTCATGCACATAGTCTGCAAAAGCAGACTATCTGGAAGGCAATTAAGAAGCAACAATCTGTGTTACAGCTTGAGAAGGAACTCAAAATATTGAACTTCTTGAGACATGACAGTGAATTGCACTTTATGCAAGATTTCAGGGATTTTCAAGAGTAATTTTTAACTACACACGATTTGCACTGACTTAAACACTTATTCTCAGCATAAAATGCAACTCCCAGCATAGTAAATACTTTCTAAAAGGCCACACTTAAGAAATCAGGAAGCAGAGCTCTCACGGGCACGTTCTGGGCAGACACTGGCTCTGCTTTCTTATTTGCCTCCGTTTTCTGATTCGCCTCCATTAGACACGTTGAGCTTCTCATGTTCTCAGCTTCTCCTCACTCTTTCAACCTCCTTTTTGTAGAGACTCTCCTATCAATGATGTGCAAGGTAGCACAAGCATAAGTTAGTAAATTTTACTTCTCTCCAGGGTATTTGCATGTTCAGTCATATCTTTTAATACAGAAAGAAACATGTTAGCATTTTTAGAGAAATGCCAGGTGTCTATCCACGTGGCGGGTTGAGAGAGTTTTTAGGCAAAGGGGTCTTTACCACTAGATTAAAAATTACACAAAGGAAATCCAAAAGCTTATTTTCTCTTGTCAATTTAAATACTGTAAGCCAAAGTTATCAGTGGAACAAAATATTATATAGCTTGTTGTGTACCTCTGGACAGCTGTCTTTTACTTACAAAGTTGGAATTAGGTGGAAAGGTGGTTTACAGTGTCAACTTGAAGAAAGAGGTTAATTGAAAAATCTTTTGCTTGTAAAATGCTTAGGCATTTTAAGGCAGTTCCATGAATCTCATTGAGAGAAGTGTCTGCAAAAGTGTGACAGGAATCGTCTGTTGATGGGTGCCCAGCCACAGGAATTAACGTGGAGGGCCTGAGCCCAGTCGTGCAAGAGAGAGCTGGGCATTTTGTAATGAGAAATGAGCAGGAGTTGACTACAAAGCTGTCGGAGATTTCCAGATCAAAATGAGGCTAAAGAAAACCAAAAGCATTTCCCAAATGCTAAATGAAGGCTTTAAAGGTGGTCGGAAGGGCAGGTCAAATTTTATTAAGAAAAGGTGTCTATAAGCATCAAGAACTTATATTGTATTTTCTTGGTTTCTTACAAGTGTTTTGTGCTCAAAGTTTCAGTGTTTTAAGTTTTCGTTGCTTTCAGAAATACATCTAGCTCTGTCTTTTTAAAATCTGAAACTCTGTACCAGTTAAGCACAGGGGTAAGCAGCATGGGAAAGTGGAAAGTGACAAAGGTTTAGGAGTCATAAACACTACTGTATAACCCCATTCTGCCATTTGTTTAATTTGCTAAGAATTGCTACCTCATAACATGGTGCTGTGAAGATTACATGAACTAATCTATATACTGTACTAGCACTGAACCTACCATGGTTTATACTCAGTAAGTATTATTTTCATCCTTTATCCCTACCCTCAGTTTTCTAATTTTAAAGAAAATACTCCTACCTCATAGGATTGGGATTAAGTGTGATAAAGTTTCTGTAGCACAGCGGTTATCATGTTTCTAACATGTGAAAGGAAGCAGGCTCACAAGCTTCTTTATGTTGGAGTGTCTGGTTGCTGCAAATGGCTAATGCACTTGCTGCTAACAAAAAGGTTGGAGGTTCAAATCTACCCAGGGGTACCTCAGAACAAAAGTCTGGTGATTGACTTCCAAAAAATCAGTCACTGACAGACAATGTTTCTACAAGTGTATCTGTAAAGGGACAAGGTTGTAGTCACTTCTTGGCCATAACCAGCTACCCAGAGGGAGTGAGCAGTTGGACCTGTGGGCTCGGGACCATGGTTGCAGGTTCAAGCTCAATTGGCATAACATACTACAGAAAAACATTGTTCCACATCCTACTTTGGCGAGTAGGGGCTGGGATCTGAAAAACTTGCAAGCAGCCATCCAGATGCAATGATGGGTCTCTCCTTGTCCAGAGCAAAGAAGAATGAAGAAACCCAAAGATTCATGGAAACAATTAGTCCAAGCGACTGGTACATCATGCGATCCTCAGCCTATATGACTATGAGATCAGAAGAACTAGATAGTGCCTGGCTACCACTGTCAACCACTCAGAGGGGGATCTATGTAGGAGATCCTAGATAGAATGGGAAAATAATGTGGAACAAAACTCAAAATCGTTTAAAAAAAAAGGGGGGGTGGACCAAGGTTTGCTGGTCTGATACAGCCTGGTGGAACCCCTGGGACTATGGCCCCTAGACTATGGTCCCTTCAGGTCTGGAATCAAATGCACTCCTGTGGCTTCCAGCCAAACAAAAGACAGACATTTGAGCTGAAGATTTACATTAGGTAGATGCATTCCTTAGGGTGATCAATCATAAGGGAAAGAAAGGCTGTGTATGCACAGGGAGACAGCTCTGGGGGCAGGAGTGCCTGAGAGGGAAGGACACAGGGAAGAGGTAAGTATGGGCAGGAGGGGGTACTGTTGCATTGTGGGAAACTGCAGTCAATGTCATAAGACAAAGTGTATGTGAGCTGCTGCATGGAAAATGAATTTTCTCTTTCACCCAAATCACACACACACACACACACACACACAAATCAGCCATTGAAAACCTTAAGGAGCACAGCTCTACTCTGACAACAAAGAGTCACCATGAGTCAGAGTCAACTCAATGGTAACTGATATATTTGGTATATAATAAAATAAAGAATGAACGTACCCCAATATTTCACACATCATGGTACTCAGCCAATAAAAATTGTTCCCTTATACCAGCTATGGCTTAACTTGTTCTCACTTTCCATCCCCTAAATATCCACACAAAGGACAGCAACTCTGTCACATCCTGGCAGCAGTGTGAGGGTACTGAGAGGCAGAAGGGGAGAGAAAATAAGGTTCACCACCCTCAGGGAGAATGTTAAGGGGCTCTGGTGGTGTAGTGCTGTGGTGTAGTTAAATTACCTGGCATGGCTTTTCTAGCCATAAGTCTTTATGAACTCCATGGTGGAATTTGTCCTGAGCAACTGAGTGGCTCCTGATCATTAAAATCGTTCACCTGGGGTATTTCTGTTGGGAGTGGCACAAAGCAATGTTCTGGGAGGTTCACGCTTTCTCTCAGGTGCTTAGAATTCTGATGTTATGATTGGTTGGTTTGGCCACTCTGCTGGGCTCAAAAGGAGACCTCCTAGAGGCAGAAGTCTCTCTGACTGTTGGCTAAGAAGAAACGCGCTCCCGAGAGACACGCGCTGCTGGGAAAGAGACCCAAGAGACACTCTTGCTGAGAAAGACACCGAGAGACATGTACTGCTGGGAGAGAGACTCTGAGAGACAGCGGGCTGAGAGAGAGAGCATTTTTCCTGAACTTCAATTGTAGCCTGGTGCTTCCCTAATAAACCCCGTAATCTGTGAGTTCTGTGTGGCCACTGCAGTGAATTATTGAACCCAGTAGAGAGGTGGTGGGTGCTGTGGCAGGAACGGTTGGTGTCAGAGTTGGTGAAAGGGCTGGAGGGAGGCAGTATGTCTGGCCTCACAGTAATGGCCTTGGGCTACTGATAGTGATTCTGTCTTCCTCTCGTGCAATTAGAGGTCAGATGTGGCTTCCTTGCCCTTTTGGCAAGTGCCTACAGCATTTGACTGCTAACCAGAAGGTAGTTGGTTTAAACTCACCAGCCACTCCATGGAAGGAAGACTGGGCGATCTACTTCCACAAAGCTTTACCACCTCAGAAACCCAAAGGGGGTTGCTATGAGTCGGAACTGGCTCAATGGC